GTTGTAGCATATATCACCATTTCATCCCTTTTTACAGCTAATATTCCATTGTTTGGATATATATTGGTAATTTGCTTACCCATTTATCAGTTCATGGACATTTTAGTTGTTCCCACCTTTTCAGTAGTATGGTAAACATTCACATATTTTTGTGTGAGCATGTTTTTGTTTCAGGTGTTGGAACTGCTGAATCATGCAAAGGGTAATGGTTTGAGCAACTATCAGTTTTTCAAGCTGACTGATACCATTTTAAATTCCCATCAATAGTGTAAGGATTCCAATTTCTCCACATCCTTCCCAATACTTATTTGATTTTATTCTAGGCACTAGAGGCCCAATGCATGAAGATTTGTGCAAGAATGAGCCCTCTTTCCCCTGGTTGCCAGCACTACCTTTGCTCCAGCCAAACCAGCCTTTCTGCTTTCTCACACTGCCCAAAGGCCCCAAACGGCTGGGGCCATGTGGAAAGCCTGCATCATCACCATAGCATCCTATCCTACCCCCAGCCATTTTTTTTTTTTTGTTAATTTGCATGCACACTCCTGATTGGCTGGTGGGTGTCATGAAGGTACAGTCAATTTGCATCTTACTCTTTTATTAGTGTAGATGTTAGTGGGTGTTGATTTCCCCTGACCCAGCTTTACTCAAGCATAATTGACAAAACTGTGAAGACATTTAAAGTGTACATTGTGATTTGATAGTCGTGTTGTTTAATGACAGGGACACATTTTTAGAAATGTGTCAGGTGTTTCCATGGTTGTGCAAACATCAGTATACTATAAGCTTAGATAGCATGTAACTACAAAACAAGATTAAACCAAGCACAAGAAGAAAAAGATGCATTTAAGATGCAGTAAACATGTACATAATCATATGTGCTATACTATTACACAAATGGCAGCACAGGTTTTTTTTTTTTTTAATATATTTTATTGATTTTTCACAGGAAGAGAGAGGGATAGTCAGAAACATCGATGAGAGAGAATCATCGATCAGCTGCCTCCTGCACACCCCCCACTGGGGATGTGCCCACAATCAAGGTACATGCCCTTAACCGGAATTGAACCCGGGACCTTTCAGTCCGCAGGCCGACGCTCTATCCACTGAGCCAAACCGGGCCCGGCACAGCACAGGTTTGTTTATAGCACCATCACCAGAGGTAATATGTAGCACCCCTTTGTCACTAAATAAGGGATTTTTCAGCTCCATTAATCTTATGAGATCATTGTATATGCAACCCATTATTGGATGAAACCAAATCACATGAATATAAATTGTGAAAGCTCCCATCACTTCTGAGAATACTCAAATTCTCTTGGCAAATTTCAATTCTACAATGCACTATTAACTGTAGTTACATACTTTCATCTTACAGCTGAATTTTGAATTATCATCTCATGGTTTTGAATTGCATTTTCCTACTGGCTGATGTCAAGCATCTTCTTAAAATATTCCTATTTAAATCCTTGGCCTATTTTTTTTTTTATAGAGAGGGAGCTAGAAACATTGATGAGAAACATCAATCAGCTGCCTCCTGCACCCCCTTACTGGGGATGTGCAGCAGCCAAGGTACATGCCCTTGACCAGAATCAAACCTGGGACCCTTCAGTCCCCAGGCCAATCCTCTATCCACTGAGCCAAACCGGTTTTGGCATAATTGGGGTTTTAAATTGATGGAAGTCTCCAGAATTGGTCTTAAGAATCCTTGGCCAAACACAATCCCCGCCCCCCCCTCCCAAAGTATTTATTTTCATTGCTACATTTGGATACCTGAACCATTTTTTTCATTGTGGTAGAGGCCATATGAATCTTTGGATCAGTTTACCAATTTCATAAAGTTCTCTAGGATCATGTTGAATCTGCAAATGTTCATAATACTGCCCATATTCTTACAACAAACAGGTTTTCCAATTTGGATCTTTAGAATTTCTTCCATGTCATCCACTCTTTTAGCTATCCTCCCTTCCTCCTCTCTGTAAAAAAAAAAAAAAATATATATATATATATATTTATTTATTTATTTATTTAAAATAAAAATATGTATGTTAAACTTTCAGATCTAATTACATAACTAGGTAAAGTTCTCAACTTTGTTGACTTTGAACTCTGAATGACTGATTTGAAAATGTGATTAAAAGAAGTCTGATAGATGGTTAATCTCGCCCAGTACGCCAAGATTATAGGATGGAACCATGGTCAGGAAACATACAAGAATCAAGTTTCTCACTAAATGAAAAATTAAAATTTAATGTCCAGCCCAGGAAGATGGCTTAGTTGGTTTGAGTGTCATCCCCCATACACCAAAAGGCTGTGGTTCAATTCCTCCATCAGGGCACATACAGAAAGTAACCAATTGTTTTCTGTATGTGCTCTCCTTTCCCCTCTCTTAATTCAATAACCATGTCCTTGGGTTAGTATTTAAAAATTATCTTGCTATTCAAATCAGGTTGGTCAGGACAGAAGTGCCATCTAATTGATTAGTATTTAAAAGGTTGAAGGAGCTTCTGCCAAAAAAGCTTTAAGAAACAGTCTTGAATCATATACACTGAGTGCCCAGATGATATCTGAACACATAATCTGGCCCCTCTATGTGTGTGCACACGCATGAATTCCTGCATTGGGGGGGTCCAGCTAGCCCGGCCAGGGGAAGGAGACATGGGCAGTTGGCAGACTTGTCTGCTGGTCAAACTCCTGGTCAAAAGGACAATTGGCATATTAGCCTTTTATTATATAAAATATAGTGGCCAGATTATTATGCGTTCAGAGATAATAATTTTGCCACTCAGTGTATATTCTGTTCTATGTCTAGAATACAGAAACTCTTTAAATCACCTAGAAATAAGTTCATGACAGGAAAATTCTAGAAAACTAAGAGTCCTATTTAAAAACAATAAAAGGACAGTTTTTTGTTGTTTTTTTTAATATATTTTATTGATTTTTTACAGAGAGGGAGAGGGATAGTTAGAAACATCGATGAGAGAGAATCATCGTTCAGTTGCCTCTTGCACACCCCCTACTGAGGATGTGCCCGCAACCAAGGTATATGCCGTTGACCGGAATTAAACCTGGGACCTTTCATTCCCAGAAGTCCTTATTAACAATTGGAATGTTCATTCCTCTTTGCCCTCTTCTTCAATGGTTTCCTGGACACAGTTCACCTGATCCTGCCAATAAAAGGAAACAATTACTTTCCAAACATGTAAAATCAGTTATCAAGTTTTTTAGCACCACAAGTAAACTTCCTAATAACAAGGAAATATTAATACTGGAATGTGGTATCAATAATATTTAAAAGTCTATATAATATAAACTTTACTTAAAATGTTGATTGTTTAGATTTCATACCGATTTTTAAGGGCCTTTAAAACTGAGTGATAGCTATCTAAACATGCAATTTATGAAATGAGGTTAGTAAGCTACTACCCACAGCCACCTTTTTATAATTTTATTGTATATAGCCATGTCCATTTGTTTGCACAGTCTATGATTGCTTTCCAGCTATATAGCAGAGTTGAGTTACACTTTAAAATTGCTAACCATTCAAATAGCTCATTTATATTATTTTGTTCTCCATCAATTTTCAATTATAGAAGACCAATCCCACCATGTACTTATATAGATGAAAAATAAAGAGGGAACTTTAAATTTTCTGAATCTACACCTGCATGGTGCTATGGACAGAGGTAAATACATACATATACATGTATGCATATACTTTTTAATTGAAAACTGTGAATTCCGTTTTTCTGAGAAGTAAATACTTAAATATTGTAAAAACAGTATTTCCTGCCCTGGCTGGTTTGGCTCAGTAGCATCCACCTGTGGACTGAAAGATCTCAGGTTGATTCCAACCAAGGACACAAACCTGGGTTGTGGGTTCAATCCCCAGTACGGGGTGTGCAAGAGGCAAGCAATCAATTATTCTCTCTTATCATTTATGTTTCTCTCTATCCCTCTCCCTTCCTCTAAAGTCAATAAAAACAACAGTATTTCCTATAAGAAAATTTTAATGTATAAGAAATAAAAATGATATATTCACACAAAGTAATTATTTCTTTACCCCCCAAGAGTCCTTTTTTACTGAAGGCAATTAACAGAGTAAGATTGCTTAACATACCTTGATACTTCCTCTATCTTGCAAATTTTGGTTTTCTCTCTTGGTTGGCTTATGCTTTGACAGCTTGAGAACAATTATCCACCTATTATTAAAAATGTAATCTTATTAAAATAAAGTAACTTGTTCAGCACATTACATTCTTATTAATATGTTAACATGTTTTTATGTTTGGGTTCTAATCAATGGTTCTTTTATTTAGCTATGTTATTGCTTAGAAAAGGTCTGGTCTACACCATATGAAATATTGCCTATTACCAAGGACTAAACAGTTGTTACTGCTGAAACCGGTTTGGCTCACAGGATAGAGCATCGGTTTGCAGACTGGCGGGTCCCAGATTCGATTCCAGTTAAGGGCATGTACCTTGATTACGGGCACATCCCCAGTGGGGGGTGTGCAGGAGGCAGCTGATCAATGTTTCTAATTCTCTATACCTTCCCCTTCCCTCCTTGTAAAAAAACAAATATGTATTAAAAAAAAAACACAAAAAAACACAACAATAGTTGTTACTCTTTTTACTAGGTAAGTTAAAAAGAATCTTAAGGATATTTATTTTAAGTGGACCCTAAGGTGAATTTAGAGTACTGAAAATACAGCATTTCTCCACTAAACGTAAACCCTCTTTTCTGCTCTTGATCATACCTCCTCAATTCTACTATTTAACATTTTGGTAATATTTCCCATATTTCAACTCTCACATACACATCTATTTTCAAAAACAGAAATAGAGGAATGTTCTCTTAGGTGAGACTAATATCTTTAAAATCAAACATGTTTCACCCCATCTGGCTAAATCAAATTATTTAAATATTAAATCTAATCCAAAAGACCTGCTAAGATTAAGATTTCCGAGGAACTTACTTCAGGCAAATGAGCACTCCAATATCAGCCAACATCAATCATTCGCACCTAAAGAATAATAAGAGAAGTTAATATAAAAGACAAGGGCAGAAGGTTTGAAAATGCTAGTTAACTTCAAAATTTAAAGAGACCAAGATTGGGGGCAAGTTACAGCATAAAAAAATAGGAAGAAACTTCATGGGGGGGGTTTGAAGGGGGAATCTAAAATTATTCTCACAAAGTAATAAAATAGACACCTGAATCAGAATGAGAACTGTATCTTCTTTAAAATACAAAAGCCTAACTTCTATTTATTTTCACCAGTCTGAGCACAAGTTTGACTGCAACCCAAAATATACTATCCCTTATGTGAAGGTATGTGACAACTCTACCTTACCAGATGAATTTTTAACATCAGCTCTCTTCATAAAAGCACATGCCCTGCTCCCCACTCAAGTATGTTTTCCATTCTCAGGTGGACTGACCACCTTCAGCAGAAGTCCTCCAAGAGTACCCCCCCCCTCATTCCACAGTACACAATGCAGTTGTCATCCTGCAGTTCTCTATATTTGCCTTGTTCTTTCCCTCTAAGTGCTCACTGAGTTTTAAGTTAGGGCAGGGAAGCTTTGCCTTATTGGGACAGCAAGGAACCTACACATATTTTTTTTTCTGAGGGAGAAGACATCCACCTTCACTATATACACCTGCAGGGCCACTGCACAAAAACCGGACTGATCAGCTTAATTCAAATTCTAGGTTTTTCTTCTTCCCTGATTATCAGTTACTGCCAAGGCCATATGAAATAGTTCCCTGTTGCACATTTACCATCCATAAGGGATACTATATCGTTTTGCATTCTTCCCATTCTCCAGATTATCCTATGCTGCAACCCAGCCCTCCCTTTTCATCCTCTGAATAAAATCTCAGCACTGGTGTTCAAAAGCAACATTTTTATGGTTGATGGTTTACCAACAACTGTGAGATTTCCACAGTTGAGTCTTAAAAATTGCCAATCATTATCTAGCAGCAATGACAGATGATTAGGAGCAGTGAAATCCTGAGTTCTTTCCCTAATAGGCCATTTGAGAACTACACTAGCTGACAAGAGCACTAAAACTATCAGCTAAAGCCCAAACAAACAAACAAAAAAAAAAGCCCAAAACAAACATCCCGGCTCTCTAAAACCTGTCCACGACCATTAAGGGAAGGACAGTAAATGCAGGACTGTGGATCGTGTCACTGCAGCTGACAATGATTAACAATAGGAGACATGCAACCCCCTTTAAGGTTAAAAGTCCAAAACCAGTCACACACATCTATCTCTATTGGGGGAAAAGTCAGACTATTAATCTTTGTAGGTTTTACAACCTTGTATAGAAAGCACCCATTGCATTTCTTTCATCTTTCAGAAAGCACCTGTATCTGTCCCAAGGGCCTAATAGTACGAAAATGCATTCTGGCATCACACCTCTGAACATCAGACCATTTTCATTAAAAAGAGTAATTTTGATTTATAATAAGGCTTATGAAATACAATGCAAGCACCTCAGTAGTGTTATTACTGAAACCCATTTATTCCCAGATTTTTGTCTGAGTGGTTTTTTAAAGACCCTCTGCACTAAGATTTACAAATTGTAGCTACGTACAAATCAAAACTATTAAGAACCAACGTCAGTCACAAGTTTCTCATTTGAAAGTGCAAAAACATATTCTTAGAATCAGAATAAAGCAAAGTTAACCCCCCACCCCAATGATGTTCCTGAAGTCCATTATTACAACAAGCACATTCTCTCAAAACTGTTACTGGTTGTTGAAGAAATAAACCTGAGCTTTAATTTCTAAACACTCAATCACTAAAATCACGGCAGCAAGTGCTGGCCACCGATTTAATGGATCATGCCACAGGAAAACCCTATCAGGGTTACATGCCAACTTAGTGACACTCTTGTCACCAAAACCTAAGCATTGTGTTTGTTTTGCATTATATTATTCACATAAAGAGCTAAATTAATTACCATTTATTCTTTCATCTATCAGGAGAGTCAAAAGTTATTTGCTTGAATGGACTATGCATCACAGTACAAATTTGTCCCCACCTTGTGAATTGCTTGCTAAATTTCCTTAACATAATGGGAGAAAATTCTCATATTCATGAAGTTTCCACACATTTATGCAAAGTAAACCTAAACCTTCCAGTTACAGAGCAGAAAGCATTATATATGAAAGATGTTTCTCATGCACGCTAGCTAAAAACCAGTTCAGAGAACAAAGTTGAGTTGAGGTCTGAAGTAATAGTCGATGCAAAGCTTAAGAACTAGGCAACAAAATAAGGTGGTTAAGACCTTATTTTTGGTAAATAAAATCTTGAATTATAACATCACATCCCTAAAGCTAAGGTAACCAAATTCAAAAACCTACTCTGAACATTTGCAGTTATCCTTCAGAATACGACGAAGTCTTATGATTGGGAAATGATTCCCTCCATGTATCCAACTGTAGGCAAGTCAATGTGCCACGCCAATTTTCCCGAGGTTTAGAGTATAGACATATTTAGTAAAATCATGTAATTTAAACTATTCACATTAGATTCCCGTCTAAGCCCAAGTTAGTAACAAAGATGTTTCTATGGAGCTCATTTGGAAAAAATTTATTAAATCACATTACGGATAAAACAAAAAACTAAAAAAAAACAAGCTCTGTACTTTTAATGTTAATTCGCTCAACCTACCCAAGAATACATTCTGAAATCATTGATATTGCTGACCTACGAGCAGGTCAGTTGCTACAACAGACTAATTATCACATGATATACAGTCCATATCAAGAGGCTAAAATAGCACTCTACCTCCCAAGTATGGTTTGGTTCCCTTTCCCCCAACCACTGATATGTTCCATGTTATCTTCAGTTACAATGCAACTAAAGAAAACCACACAACCGAATCAGATATACCAAGGAATCAAGTTTGCACTTTTGATTTGAGAACTGCAACAGCACTGAATTCTGCCTGACAAATTACAGCCCTAAACCCAAACCCACGCACTTTTGATAAGCTAGCTTTACCATACAAGTGTTAGGTGCTGCACTGTTATTTCATTGTCAGAAGTGTGATGTCAGAATGCCCACGGAATAAAAGTACATAGCAAGTCACCAAGTTAGATTATATTGCTTGTTACCTACCTGTATGCAGTCGGCAATGAGAATCTTGGAGCAAGCAGGAATACTACATCCGGGTCCTAATGTCCATTGCCATTTGCGGTACTACGTTCCTCACAGTTACGCACTGCAGAAATGCTGGCTAAATGCAGTTATGTAGCAGGCCACTACTTTAATAGTCCAAGAACACCAGAAAACATTCCACCAAAACTTAGTGGCTTGCCCAAGAAAAGCCAAGTATCTTTTTTAAGTTTTTATCTGCCATAATATGCCTCTTACGAAAATTGCACAGGTGTAACATTACAATTTCCCAAATTATGTTTATAATAGTGGTATATCTACATAAAGAGTGGTAGAGTTTATAGAACTTGTTAATGAGTTCAATTTGTGTTCTAAACAAGGAAGGATTGTGATTTCACTAAATAAATGAGCCAATGGATTAATGCTTATGAGATACCTATTAGTAAATACACAGGGGGTCTCTTTGAGAATGCAGTTTTTAAAGATTTGGACTACTAAGTTTTAAAATGATCAGTGTTCCTCTTAAAAACAAAATTATGAGAATGGAAAAGGGAAATGGGGGCAGGTGATTTCTTCAAATGAGAAAAATGGCTAAAATACTTTGAAACTACTACCTTCCCTCTCCCATCCCAAGTTTCTAATCAACTTTTAGGCAATTGTTTTTTTTTAAGATAACTTTTAATTCCCATTAGGCTAAAAACTATCATATACAAGACTTACAGAAAGTCTATTTGAGTACCTTACAACCCTTGGTACACTGCTTTTTCAGTGATAAAAGTAAAAAACAAAAAAAAAAACAAAAAAACTTATTTGAAACTAAGCAAGATTATTTGCTAAACAACATTTAGCAATTCTACAGCCCTCAGTAAGGCCATCAAAATCACAACTTTCAGAAGATTATCCATGAGCATCCTTCACCACTCTTCAAAGGTAAAGTACTACCAAAAGCTTATTTTAGGGGTCTGTGCCAGCATCCCTTATAAAGAAAGGCATGTAATCTGAAAAATAAACTGAAACATTAATTTTATAGGCAGATTATCCCATTTCCCCACCAACCCCCACCCACACACATACAAGTTCACCCTCCATGGGTGTCCCATGAACACCCCTTATTTTATCATTAGTTGAGTCCCTACTATACAATCCAATCAAATTATAATGGACTTCTTTCAAATCAAGACCCTTGTTTCCGTACAGAAAAATCTCATACATAGCACCAATTCGTATCTTAACTGGGGACAAAACTTCCTCATTAACATAATTATGGTAGAGCTACCACCCATTTCCAGGTGTCTTGAATAGAAATAATGAACATTTTCTAATGAGATTTCCTTAATTAGCACATCATGTACTTGTCACATAACCAGAATTGGGTGACATGCCTTTATATTCCACTAGTGTTTTAATTTTAGTATTACCCAGTTTCCCATGCAGAAGGTGCTCAATTATTTCAATAGATTTCCCTTCGTACTCAGGCACAATACTAAACCTCAGCATTTTAACCAAGATTTGATTTAGAATTTTACTTTTGCCAATTAGCACCAAGAACAGAGGTGAAAAGGAGGAAGACACATTCCACAGTAAAGAGTTCTATAATGTACAAATTTGGATGGAACTGTAACTAAGAACAAAACCAAACCATTATTTTACCTACTTTTAGGAAGCTGTTCCCTCTGCTAAAACAGATACATTGGGAAAACAGATCCCCACTGTTGAACTAACAGACAACAGTAACAAGATACTTTGATATTAAATCAGTGTATCTAATTCTAAGGGAAGGAGATTCAATGAAGTTGACAATAAACTGACAACACCATCGAAAAACTCCAAAACTTGATGGGTGAGAGGGACATTTATATTTGCACTGTGTAGCATAAGTGACTCTCTAGATTTAGTGTTGCATCAAAAGGAAACTATGGAAAAACAAATTAAAAAATATTTTACAATTATGAATGGCTATCTGCAACCCTACATGTCAACAGTCACCACTAATTCTTTGAAAAGAGCAAGTAGATTTATAGTCCTATAGTTTTCGCCCAATGAAGTAGCAAAAGGAGATATAAAAAGGTTCAGAGTATAAATGTATATATAGCTACACCTAGTTTATGGTTACTACACTTTTTACTTTCAAGTTGAAATTTTCAGACTAAAGCCCATCTTTATAAATCACTTAAAGTAATACATGAAAAGATTTCATGTTTGACAATCTTTAATTCAAATGTGAAAGTTCAATACAAGCCAGTTGTGGGGCTTGGGACAACTCTTTTAAAAACAAAAATGGAGGAATGCAACAAAATGATCTTTCCACTTTTTCTCCAGGAACTTTCAAGAAAAGGATAACTCATAGGGCTATAGAAGATCCATTTAGTCATGCCCACTTTCTCCCCCTACCAAGTCATACACCCAATTCCACAATCTTAATACATATTCCTGAATGAAGATTTACAGTTCAGTTTTACTTATATAACCATTTAAAAATACTTAGCACCGCTTGCTTCCTATAATGCCAAACAAATCAAATCACGGATCTACTTCAGTATGTTTCTTCTTTTTAAAATAAAGGGGTACTTGTTTGTAAAAAGCAATACTTAGCCTACAGATACATTTCCCCAAAATGGCATACGCCATCTGAAGGTCTCAACACGCTCATGCTTTCAAAGTGGAATACCTAGCCTAATGTGCATGGAAGCATGAATGGCAAAATTGAAGATCAATATTATAACTATTTTATCTATTTATTTGAAGCACAGTAAAAAAAAAAAAAATACACTTTAGAAATTCGATGGCACAAGGTACACTGCCATAACTTGTGGGACATTATACAGTTAAAAAAAAAAAAAAGAAATAAAAAGGAAAAAAATCCTGTTTCAAAACACTGCATTACATAATTTTACCTGCCCAAACAGACCATTTACAAATATTAGGTCAATGAACTGCTAACATCCATAAAAAGGTAGCTTTCTTACTAAAATGCAAGAATTTTAAAAGATTGTTATCTAAACAAGAAAAGACAAAAACAAACTAGAATGAGAGCCTAGATATCACACCTAAAACCGGGGTTTTTTGTTTGGGCCTTCATACTCTTCTCTCCCTCTGCCATATCCTGCTGGAGTTCCAGGCCCCATTCCTCTAGGACCCTGTCCACCCACAGGTCCCGCACCTCCCTGCCCAAAGCGCTCAGTACGCTATTGGAACAGTAAGTAACAGTTCATTAAATGTAGTTGATGTCCATGTGTGTTAAGTAAATATTTTAGAAGGTTCCGTAGTCAACGTTCGTCGATACAATCACCAATGAGTCGATCCACAGGTACCGGGAACATAGAAAGGAAAAAAGGGTAATTTGAAAATTAGTTTACGATAATACATGCCTTGTGGTATGTTCCCACTTGAGCCATTCTCATACACCTGTTTCAAAGAATAGATCTTCCCTGTAGTGCTAAAAAATTTAAGAATTAGTGCAGATGTGAAAACCCATTCCAAAATGAGTTAAAGAAATTTCACATCAGAACAAACCACTGGAAAGCTTGCAAACTTCTGACTTTCAAGGTCTGAACAGGAAAATTAATTTCCAAGTAAGCCTGACAAGCCCAACCAGACAGATTCAATTCACTCAAAGAAGTGACAAAGAACCTACTCACCAGTTAGTGGCATGTGCTGCATAAGAAACCTTGTGCTTTCAAGATCTCAAGACACATCTGCTAAGTTGCAGAAATCTTAAAAAGTTCAAAGTTTTAATAAAATGCTACCAGACTACAAAAAAAAAGCATAAAAGACTAATAGATTTAGTCACTTAAACGGCACAGTACGTGATTTAAAAAAAAAAATGTGTTGCCATATTCTCACAGGTGTACCACCTTTAGGAGCCATCACTATATGACCAGAGACACTTTTATGTTTACAGTACTATTCTGTGTTATTGCAAATTGACTGGATATACAGCCCATCCCATAACAGTCCAACTTTCCCCTAAGGACTTTGAAAAGTCCTATGGCACTTAGCTATGATTCCATGGTTTGGGCATCTCCCAAAGAGCCTAGCACCATGCTTAAGGGACTGCAATAAAGCAGCAGTTTATTCCATCTAGTTTAAGTACTTCTAAGTCTTAGGAAGCATGTATCCAAAAGAAAAACCCTAGATATGCAAGCAGTGCAGCCTGAACTATCTTTCAAATTCCACTTAAAATAGAACAGCTACTAAGTATTACCACCACGCCCCCCCCCCAAAAAAAAATTTTTTTTAAATAAAAATGGCATCAGGGTTTAACTGTTCCTATATGTTAGTTTCAAAATGTCTCTTACAAAATACTATAGGGCTACCTGAATAAGACTAAATCTCAATCCTTTAAACTATTTTTCAAAATCTAAACATTTTAGGGTTTTAGCACACTGTACTATATATTTCATGAAGGCTAGTGAGGAAAATTTGGGGATTTCACAATTATATCATTACATCTTAAATACATAGGTTTTTGTTTTTTTAACCTGCTATATGGAATATACAATTTTAACTGTGGGAACATCATGTGAAGATACATTTTTAATGAATTTCCTTACATACCTAAAATATGCCTTTAAGGAAACACATAAGCAAAAATGTTACCCACACTATCACACTATTTTTAAAATTTAATTTGAAGAAAGCTTATAGCACTACACTTAACATAACCAGTCATTTACGGTTCTAATTCCCCAAAAGCCATAAATGGATTTTGAAATAGGTGAGGTCCCATACTAAATCCTTATGTTCCTTATCTGTAAACTGAAATTAGTGAGTTATTTGCTGCAGCTTCCTTCTTTTGCCAAAATCCTGTAGGTGAACTAATTAGACTTAATTCAGTTGTGAAAATGTCTTCTTCCTTAAACCCGTTTTCTAAAGCCAATATTCAATTCTCCTGAGGATTTGTAAAGCCCTAAACACAGCCACTCAGACCAATTTACATGGTTGTTCTAAAGCATCCGGTTAGGCTCTCTGCAGTTAAAATATGATAGCATCAAGAAGGTTCAGATCAAATGCACACAACTAGTATGCTTAAAATTGTCATTGGTTGTTTTTTTTTTGCTACTCTGTAGCAAAACAGATGTCAGTTTGTTTTAGAAGATGTACCTATAGACAGCCCAACAGGTGGGAAACGACGAGTCAAAACTTTAAACAATTCCCTTTTCATGGATAGAAGCCACACCAAATATAGGTCAAAGTTCTACACATCACTAAAACATGCCTAGGAGCTGCAAACTACAAGTCTAATTCATAGAGTTATGGCAAATGCCAGCTGAGTGAACAACAGTTTGCCATTTGTTTACGCTCATTTAGATGTAGAATAATTAAGTACATTATCTAACATTTAGAATTTGGATTTGCCATGCCATGGGAGTGCCAAAGTACACAAGCAATATAATAGAAAGCACCTAAGTCTACTTATTGCCAAAGATAACTCCAACATACTAACAGCACTGACTTCGAGTTGGTAACCATATCTGTTTAGGTTACCACACACTGAGTTCTTTATGTTGCCAAAGTATCCCTCAATATTATGATTTACATGATAGGGAAGCTAAAAGAAGTCCAATCACCTACTTAAAAATAAAATAAAACACACACAACAAAATAAAACACACACACATTAAGTTGTGAAAATGAGAATTTCCTCGGTACTATGTCTCACAGGATACATTACCATGTCGCTTCCCATCATGGAACCAGTCATGGTTGCTGGTGGAACTCCAGGATTAGCTTCATAACCTATGCCGCCACCACCACCTAATGGTGGAAATTTCTGGCCTCCTGAACCATAGGGATCTAGGAAACAAAAATGCCAGTTATACCTAAACCAGAATATTGCTCTCTAATGACATTGCTAATTTATTTTCATGCTTACCTCCCATGTTCATTGCTGCTCCACCACCCATTCTCATGTCTCTTTCTCTCTAAAAGAAAAAAAGAAAAAAAAAAAACTTTTGATGTATCTGTACTATACCCATACCATATTTGAAGGTACAAAAAAATCCCCATACTTAATGTTTCTAACCAATTTAAAAAGGTTCATTTAAGGCAATTTAAAAAACTTTGAATAAAAAAATTTTAATTTACCCATTGACTTAAGCTTCTTCCCAAAGAATCTTTGGCCTACCAAAAAAATAATAAAACTAAGAAACATAATCATAATACACATTTAAAATAAGTAGATGTTATTATTTTACTCTTAACTATTATACAACAAAAGTCTACTTACTGGATCCATGTAGCCCATTCTGCTATAACTTTCCTCTCTTTGTCGTCTCATTTGTTCTTCCATCTCACGTTGACGAATCATCATCTCTTCTTCCCTTCTACGTCGTTCCTCTTCTTGCCTGGAAATGTCCATTAAGCATATAAATCAAAGTGTTATCCACACCTTTTCAAACTCAGTTTTGACTACACTGCAGTTTAGGTTCATCTTTTGTCCAAATGTTAATGCAGAAGCAAAGGCCTAGTTTTACAAGGTCTGCCCGGTGTGGCTCAGTTGGTTGACTGAAATCTCCCCCCACTTCCCTCTCACTCTAAAATCAATAAAAAACTTTTTTTTAATTAAAGGCTTAAACAAAAGTTTACCTTAATTGCATTTCTTTACGTTTCTGCATTTCTTGATTGTGAAGTTCTTCCATGCGCCTTAATTCTTCCTGGCGTCGCATCAGATCTGAACATTGGAAAATTTTGTTTTGGATTAACATTAATGAGATCACAGTAAATTTTTTAAAGACAATAATTGCTCCCATGAGCAAACCTCAGGGAGTCCTTTACCTTGACGCAGGAGATTTGCCTGATGCTCATGATAGGCATCTTCCATTTCACTTTCCAGTTTGTCTTTTGCATCTTTCATGTTTTTTTCAACTTGTTCCCTTTGCTGTTTCTCCATTTCATCCAAGGACTTCCATCGCTGAGAATATTCATACTCAAATGTACCATGCTGGGCAAAACGAGGAGGGGTTTCTCTCTCCCTGACAACATTTAAAGGTGAATCAATTTGGGATGCACATAAGAAACACTACCTGACTCCCTCCCCTAAAAACAGTGCTCTGTCCCCCTGCCGCATCATTTGTAAGGAACATCAAGGGGTAAACAAAGAACCACTTTGGTTCTTAAGAACAAGACAAAACTGTGAAATATACATACTTCAGAAACAAAAACTAGGCATTTGAATAACTGCTTCAAAACATCTAACTTTCGCCGAGACTGGTTTGGCTCAATGGAATAAGTGTCGGCCTGCGAACTGAAGGGTCCAGGGTTCAATTCTGGTCAAGGGCATGTGCCTTGGTTGCAGCCATGTCCCCGGTGGGGGTGGTTTGGGAGGTGGCTGACCGATGATTGTCTCTCATGGATGTTTCTAGCTCTCTATCCCTCTCTCTTCCTCTCTGTAAAAAATCAGTAAACTATATATATATATATTTTTTAAATCTAACTCTCTGAGACTGATGCTTTTAGTAAGCATATTCATTTAGAAGAATTTTGCACATTTTAAACAAAACTGAAAAACTACTAGAACAAGTTCTCCCTTAAACTTAAAAACTGCCCAAAAGTTAATCCATCTTACTTTTGATACATTGGATTCTTCTGTGCAAGCTTTTCAGGAAGACCATCCTCATCATCCAATTGTTCAAGTGGTTCCACAATGACTGGACGAGGTGTTCTAATAAAAAAGAAGGCTGTATCTTATTTTCCAGTTGTATCACAACTTCCCCTTACGAGTTAATAAACAAAAATTATTAAAATAAGCACAAGAACTTACGTTGTCAGCAAGAAAACGCCTTCACTGCATCTTTCAAATGCTTTTCTTGCTGCTGGCTTAGAAGCAAATTCAACAATGCCTTTCCCGGTAGATCTTCCACGATCGTCCACAATTACAACAGCCCTTTCAATGGGACCAAACTGGCTAAAGGCTTCTTCCAACAGTTCATTGGACACGTAAGGTGAAAGATTTCTGACAGAAAGGGCAGCAGCATGTGTGGCAAAGCGAACCCGAAGCTGTCTACCTCTCATGGGTGTGTCATCAAGTTCAGCTTTGGCAATTTCAGCCAGTGCCCTGGATTCCTGAAAGTTATCAGACATAATCACATTAATGACCCCAAAAATTGCCTGTCTACTCTGAAAGTCATAAGCCTACTTCCCATTCCTGTTCTCCCTCCAGCTCCAAGTATATTCAAACAGTCCACCCTGACACCCTTCTCAGAAATTAAAATTAAAATGCCTTGCCCATCCACTCCCCTTGATTCTTTGATACCAACAATTATACACTTTATAAGTTCATCTTTTCTGCAAGAACAATGAAAACATTTTTATCCTTTCATCCTAACCCATGGATATGGATTATTTTTGGTTGTGGTTGGTTTTTTTTGTTCGTTTGTTTTTTTAAAGAGAGCATAAAACACTGATGTGAAAAAAACATCACATCAGTGTTGTGATGCCACCCCCTCTAGGACTGAACCCACAATCCGGCCATGGCAAGAATGGCAAAAAATTTAAAGGCCAAATGATTAATATTCGTTTGAAAACCAGCACATTTATAGTAGCAAAAAGGGGACTCTTAATTATACATAAAACCCCAACAAACTCACAAGCTTAATGAATCCAAATCCTTTGCCTTTGTTGATAAAAACTTCTCCCGGCTCTCCATACTTAGCAAACAGTCTTTTGAATTCCTCCTCTGTAATATCTGCAGGTAGGTTCCCAACAAACAACCTACAACGCTGAGTGTAAGTCTTCTCTCCGGGTCTTCTCAGGAGAGACAAGTTGGCTTTAAACCCCTAAGTGGAAAAGAAAGGGCATTTTCAGACACCAGAGACCTCTGGCAAAGCAGGGAAACACACTAATTTTTGCTTTTACCAAAATGGATTTTTCCCAACGGGGTTGGCTCTTCCGTCTTGTTTAAAAGTCAAATCAAGGTCTTACTATAGTTGCGAGATTTCCAATGGAACCGTTATCCTAACGCCAAACAGTCAAAATCATTCAAAAGACTCGAGAACTGACGCTTGGACCTCGCTACACACAGGTCCTTTTTAGATGGACCATTCCTTCCTCAATGAGAATTAGCTCATTCATGGCCTATTGTCTTCCTTCCCACCTCTATTTCTGCTCACCATTCTACACCTATATCAACAACCTCGTCCTTTCCATATGCTGAGCCTCCCTAATTAAAACTGTAGTAGACATAAATTAAAATGGCAAGATATTAAATGGAAAAAAAAGAGCAAAATCTCGTTATCAGACGACATGACGTGGCCCTGCTCTTCCCCGACCTCTTGGGAGCCTACATTTCACTGTCTGGTTCCCAGAATCTTCTGGCTTTAACGGGGCCGGCCCATCCCGGCGGCTCCTCTCCTCCCCGGGCCCCTCCCGGGGCGCGGGCGGCCCATCCCGGGCTCCGCGGAGAGCCCCGCCCCCGCCCGCAGCGCGCAGGCGCCCTTCCGGCCTCCGACAAAATGGAGGCCGGCGGGAAGGGAGGGGGGCGGAGAGGGGCAGCGGCCATCTTAGGGGAACGGACGCGTAGCTCCGGACACACTCACCTCCGAGTCGGAGATCTTCTCCTCGCTGCGGCCTCCGGGCCCGCCGGGAGGGGGCCCCTGGTGGTGCTGCTGGTGGTACGGGGGGTGGTGCTGCCGTCCTCCGCGGGGCTCCAGGCCTCCTCGGTGTGGCGGCTTAGGATGGCCGCCGGGAGCGCCGAGGCCCGGGCCACCCCCGGGCTTCGGGCCGCCCGGCATCTTACCGCCTTTGGGGCCGCCGGGGCCTGGGCCCGGCTTAGGCCCGGGGACCGGGCCTCCGGCGGGAGGAGGCGGCGGCCCCCCGGCCTGAGGGGGGGTGCTGGAGACCACGCTGCTCGGTGGCGCCGGCGGGGCCGCCCCGGAGGGCGCGGAGGTGACAGCGGGCGGCGGGGTCGGGATGGGGCCTGGCCCCGTGGTGGCCCCGGAAGTCGGCGGAGTGGCGGGCGGCGCCGTGCCCGAGGCCGGCGGCGTGGTGCCTACCCCGGGGGCCGGGCCGGGGCCCGGAGGAACCACGGGCTTGGAGGAGTCCTGTGGCGGCGGCGGCTGAGGCTGCGCTGGCGGCGGCTGCTGGAGCGGCGGCGGCTGCTGATGTGGCGGCTGAAGCGGCGGCGGCTGCTGTGGCGGCAGCTGCTGCGGCGGCGGTTGCTGCTGCTGCTGTTGGTGCGGAGGCGGCGGCGGGATCGGAGGTTTGGGGCCGCCCGGGACCGGGCCGGGACCCAGGGGCCCGCGGTTCTGATTGAGGCCCATGCCCGGCGGCGGCGAGCGGAAGTCGTGAAGGCCGCCGCGGCCGCCGCCTCCTCCGCGCCGGTGGAAGCCGCCGCCGCCACCGCCGCGGCTCCGGAACCGATCTCGAGACATGCCTGCGATCAAGGGGCGGTCGAGACAGAGGCGGAGAAGTCGCTCAGGGAATGTGGATGCCACCTTGCTCTCCACAAAATGGCGGATGACACAGGCTGCGTGCCGCCTTTGTCCTCTTCTTATATAGGCCAGCTGGTAAGGCCCCGCCTCCCTTCTTAATCGGTAGCTCCAACAGCCAATGGCAAGCGCTGTGTTTGATGACGTTCTTTTTACGAAGTGCTCTTGTCTTCTATTGGCTTCCTGGTGAGAAGCGGGAGGGATGAGTAGCTGAAGCCTCCCGTTGGCCAATGACCGGCAAAGGAGTTGGCTGGAGGGCTCTGTGATTTGCTGGGAAAAGTTTGAATGGGTTCGCCCGACCAATTTTCTCAGGAAAGCAAATAGTAAGGGCTCTATCGGCTCCCAGGGAAAGATATAAGGGCCCCTTTCTTTCTCAATTGCCCCGGAAGTAGTCTATTGTTATCTTTTCCCAGAAAGAACGTGCCTTGGTTCAAAGGCATAAATTAAGTGCCTGCGATTTGCTATAACCCTGTGTTAGGCCAGGGAGATAAGGAAAATCAAATCTTACCGACTTCACACGCGATCTTACTGTCCTCTAAGCAGCTTTTGGTGGGTCATTCCTCCCTCAATATTCCCTCTTTCATCGCTTCCCGGCTTTTTGGCTAAGATCAAGTGTAGTTTCTGTTCTTAATCAGTTTAATATCTGACACGCCCTCCATCCTAGAACAATTAAATGATTTTTGGAGCAGGGAGATCGAATAGGAGCTTGCTCCATCCACTCCACGCATTGACCCGGTATTGTGCACACACACAAAAAAATTAGCTCTTTTAGCTCATGGCTTATTGTCTTCTTTTCCACCTCTCTGTTCATCCAACATCTATGTGGATGACCACCCAATACTCTGTCAATTCTTTTTTTTTTTAAATATATTTTATTGATTTTCCATAGAGAGGAAGGAAGAGGGCTAGAGTTAGAAACGTCGATGAGAGAGACATCAACCAGCTGCCTCCTGCACACATACATACACCCTCCACCCCAACCCTGCTGGGGAAGTGCCCGAAACCAATGTACATGCCCTGACCGGAATCGAACTTGGGACCTTTCAGTCCGCAGACCAACGCTCTATCCACTGAGCCAAACCGGTTTTGGCCTCTGTAAATTCTTTATCTCCTCACCTCCAACAACCTTTCCTTCCATCCTATATCAGCTCCTCCATCCCCACAACTGCCCTAAAGGTCACCGTTGTGTTTATTATTGCCAGTAAGTATTTCATCTTTAAAATCTCTATTTCAAGAATTTTACTGTCTGATTATAATAGCTGATTCTTTTTTTTAATATATTTTTATTGATTTTTTTACAGAGAGGAAGAGAGAGGGATAGAGAGTTAGAAACATTGATGAGAGAGAATAATTGGTCAGCTGCCTCCTGCACACCCCCCACCGGGGATGTGCCCTTGACCGGAACCGAACCCAGGACCATTCAGTCCCCAACCCTACGCTCTATCCATTGAGCCAAACCGGTTTCGGCTGGAATCTCTTTTCTTATTAATTTGCGTGGTTCCACTAATATGTCTTAGAAGATAAATGGATGAACGACCTTAAAGCCTCTAAAAGGAGATTCGGTTTGGAAGATCCCCAACAACTAAAAATCGTGAAAACTGCGTGCCTCCCACCGACTTCTAATTTGATTCTCAAGAGTTTATGAAAATCACCCCACTTCTTAGGTGATTTTCCCCATCACCATCGGCTTCTCTCTGTAGAAAAAGTACTCGAACAAGTTATCCGCACCTCTCCAGTTCCAGATTCCACAGCCACAGCCACAGCCTCGGCAGCCGGATCGGGGATCCATTTTTCCATGATTTTTAGAGATAGTAGAAGGGAGGGGGAATGAGAGAGAGACATAGTAATTGGTTGCTTCCTGCAAGCACCTAAACTGGGGCCAGGATGGAGCCTGCAATCAAGGTAGTGCCTTTGACCAAGGAATCAGTCTGTCCCTTGGCAATACTTTAGTCCCCCTTAATATCCATCTTTTCCATCTTTCTGATATCATGCTCCTTTCAAAGGGCACCTCCCCTCCAATTCTAGGGTCCATTGATTTTTAGAGAGATTGGAAGGGAGCGAGAGAGACAGACATGCCTTTTCTAGGACTTTTCCTTGGATCACCAATGACTTCTACTGGATCATTACAATCTTAAAAATAAACAAAAATTTCCCTTTATCCTTTTATTTCACTTATTCACTCCTCTTTACAACAAAGCTAAATAAAATAAGTGATCTACACTAAGAGTCTCCATTTCCACCCCAAATCTGTTTAACCTGTTCTTTAACTAGCCAAGGATACCAATGATTTATATATCGCCAATCCAATAAACATTTCTCTATGCTCATCTCTTTTTTTTTTTCCTTTTAAATATATTTTATTGATTTTTTTACAGAGAGGAAGGGAGAGAGATAGAGAGCCAGAAAAGTCAATGAGAGAGAAACATCGACCAGCTGCCTCCTGCACACCCACCACCGGGGATGTGCCTGCAACCAAACGTACATGCCCTTGACCGGAATCGAACCTGGGACCTTTCAGTCCGCAGACCGACACTCTACCACTGAGCCAAACCAGTTTCGGCTATGCTCATCTCTTTTTACCTGGTAGCAACATTCAATAAAGATAGCACTTTCTTTCATGAACCATTTTTCTCGCTGGCCTCTCTGAAGCCATCTTTATAATAAAGAGTTAATATGCAAATTGATCCTCACACCCTCACATCACAAGATGGCCACCCCCCTCACATCATCACAAGATGGCCAGCAGGGGAGGGCAGATGGGAGGGACCAGGCCTTCAGGGGAGGGCAGTCAGGGGTGATTGGGCCAGCAGGGGAGCAGTTAGGGGGCTATCAAGCTGGCAGGTGAGTGATTAGGAGCCAACAGTCCTGGATTGTGAGAGGCCAACTGCCGTTTTAGGCCCGATCCCTGTGGGGTCCCAGATTGGAGAAGGTGCAGGCTGGGCCTCTAGTATTCTCATAACTTTCCTCCTGCATCAGAAATCTGTCTTCTTTTCTTACTCCTTCCTCTTAGATCTCTAAAGTTTGGGATTTCTTAGGGCTCATTTATGGACCCCTTTCAAGACTTCAAATTTAATAATCTTCAAATGTATATTTCCATGATAGCATGGATCTCTCCTTTGAGCTTCCAACTCATATCCAACTATTTATTAGACATTTCCACTTGGGAGTTTTAGCTGGCATGCCAATTAATATATCCAAACTGGAGCTCTCCATTGAACTAACCTATTCTTTTCCCCATCATAGTAAATAGTATCATCTCCATCGTTAAAATAGCAAGGATTCATCCTCTTCATCAACTCCAAACATTAGTACTACCTCCAAAGTATATCTCGATTCCATTTACTTCTCTCCATCTCTATCACTGTAATCTAATATTTTTTTTTACCTCCATCCTCACCCAAATTACTGCAACTATTTAACTTGTTTCCTTCTTCTCTTTCTGGGTCCACTCTAATCTATTTTCCATATGGCAGCTAGAGAGATTTTTTTTTTTTCATCTTAACAGACATTTATTGATGAGATGTAAACAATGTGATGTCGGTGATCAAATTAGTTTGAATTTCCCCACCGCTGCCTTTTTTCTTGTGGTTTGGAGGTGCTGATTTGTTCCTTCCCAGAGCTTCTAGTTTCTAGTGGGCTGTTAGAAACTCCAATCTTTGGGCCTCTTTTATTCTTAATCATTTGTAAATGTTTCTGATTTCGTGCCTTTATTCATTTATCCATTCACCCATTCAGCAAGTCAGGAACTTTTTCTCAGCCCTGGCTCTGTGCCCATGCAGCCTGCTGTTCAGTCGTTTGGTCCTGCCTCAATCACCTCCTGCCAGCCTGGTTGCCCATTCAGCCTGCTGTTCGGTCATCCTTCCCGTTGTTTTGGTCCTGATGGCCCCTGGCTTTTTATATATTAGGATGTTCTCTTAGGCTTTTACAGCTCCTCTGATTTTCCTTCTGGTTTTCTCTTTCTTTCTCGTTGTAGAATTTCCAGTCAGTCGACTTTCCTGTAGTTCTGGGTAATGTCCATTTTGTATTTTAGTTGTATTTTATTGAAATTGTTGTGTGAGGCTGCAGTTAGGTGTTTATGCTGCCATCTTGGATGCTTTCTGTGTGATCGAATAGAGAGATCTTTTAAGAAAAAAATAATTCATAAAAAATTAAAAATAACAATTCTGATGTCCTGTTCCTCCTGATGGGGAAAATGAGACTTGGGGGGGGGGGGAGGCCTAGCAATCTGAATCTGTGCCAGTAAACTAATGTACTTTCTTGATAGCCTATAATTAACTCACTGCCCCTTGCTCCACAATCTGATCTTGCAAGACCTGTTTACCTAAGTACTACTCCCATTTTACAGAGGCCATAAGCCATGAACAACCCCTGGAGGGGGCTATCTGTGCTGGCACCAAGCCAGGCCTTTAGGTACAATCTCACGGCCCCCATCCCAACACCTGGGGCTTTTTGTAAAGCCCACGAAAGGTCTGGAAGTCCCATCCATTTTGGGGGGACAAAGAAACCAAAGGGTACAAAGGGAAAGCTCCCTCCATATTGGCTTGCTAAGGGATTGGAGAGATGTGGGGGGCTGTTTCTCTGTTTTCTGTGTCCATCACAGAAAATGACAGGGTCCTGAGTGGAGGAGCTGGGGATTAAGAAATATTGAAAAAAGTAAGTGACATGGAGGCAGAAATAGATTCTTCAAGCTGGGCGTTAGGTGGGCTCCATCTCTCTGATGGAGAGGCAGCAAGGGAACCCACCAAGCCACGCAGGTTTATTTATAGGGTCAAAGGAGCTTATTTGCATTCTTAACTAGGCCCTAGCATTACTGGATTTACATATCTAGACCC